GCATCATAATTATGATTATATACATGCAATGCAAATAATTATGTGCGCCAAAATTATGTTACAAATGCGTCGTTACAAAAGTGAAGTAAAGAATAGAGGTACAAAAGGACGCACTGTTATAGTTTCATGTTTCTTTTGTCGTCAAAGAGCGCCTCTCCACGTTTCATGCACATTTCTGGTTGCAGATAATTTATTTGAAACCGCTTTTGGTTTTCCTTAAGGGGAAGCTCAAAAGCATTGAAATTTTATTTTAAAGTACTAGTTTGCTTCATTTGGCGTAGAAGACAACTTTAATCTGCATTTAATATCCAAAGATACTGTAAGCGGAAAGAATATACTTATATAATATACATGATTTCATTTGACATAAGTAACCTTTCCTGATCCTGAGAGGGGCGCCAACTAGAGAGCAAAAAACGGCAGCCCCTTGTTTACATGATTCAGATAGAGATACATCTGAGCATCGTGGAGTAAGCATGAAACCGAACCGAACCCATGATATACCTCTGGCGTGCCAACGACGTACCACGCCTTAGTTATGTCTGTCTATAGTCCTGTATCATCCTATAATCCTATGCTGGACATAATATATTAGCCACAACTCGCGTATCATAGCCGTGGTTCAAATAATAAGTATTGTAAGTACTGAATATATCTAGGCCGGTAAACGAGCCGACGGTGTCCTGATGGTAAGCAATCGGCGCTGCCCATGGACATCCGAAATATCAGAGCCAGAGGCGTTAAAAGTGTGTTGACGGCCTTTTGAGTTTAAGGAATGTCAAAATTGTTGGGGATTAGGATAGGAGATTGGGAAGGAATGGGGGGGGTTAACTTCTCCTCTGGTAACTTCACTCACACAATAAAACATAACAGAACGGTGAACGCAAGCGTAGTTTCACGACAGGTTTTCTTGGAGACCGTGGTATCATTGAGGTCGAGCCGGCCCATTCATACCGAAGCATGGCTCTGCCGTCCATCCTATCCCTTTCCCATTTTGAGTATTTATTTGAAAAATCGGTCATTATTGTCATGTTACGACAGAAGCCTATCAGTATCTTATGTTTTTTACGGTTAGAGTAAAAAAATTACACTTTTATTTTGCAAGGGTCGCTAAATGATTACAGATGATTGGTCGCCACTGCACCACGCTAATGTATATCTGCCTTAATAGTTTGGAAGATCAAATATTAACATTCTATTTATCTGTTGAGATATTGCAAAAACAAATATTTAATAATATTTTTAGTGGCAGTTAAAGTTTGATTCTTCCTTAACTTGTAATCATATTATGGAAAAAATCGGTTAATTAGTTTTGTTTCATAATTATGAATATACGGCACAGGGCTGGTAACACTAAACAGCGGCTCAATCTCATTCAGCGCATTTCGTTATCGTTTCGTTACGTTTTCGTTTGCTTGTTGCTTGCTCTTCTGAGTTCTGAAGCTTTGGCGTGGATTCTCTGTTTCTGTTTCTCTGCCATTTCTAAGATTTCGAATTAATATGCGTAAGCGAAAATCTGTAAAGAAGAATGACGATGATTCAGATGGATCTGAACCGGCAGCGGAACCTGAAGAATTCCAAGACTCTGGTGAAGATTGGACGCCGGATGCCGATTCTGTATGTGATTACTAAATTCACCAATATTATTTATCATTTAGTATTTTTATTTACATTGAATAACAATATTAAATATTTTTATAAACGGAAATGTTCCTTGGTGTTTATTTTGTTAGAATCTTATCTATTAGAATTTTATGTTATAGGTTAAGTTAAAGTGTACGATTATTAATTAAACACTTTTATATGCATTATTCTTCATCTTATTCTCGTATTATTGACAAATATTAATAATATACCATTATTAAAATTTAAAATATTATTATTATCAGAATGAACAACCTGGGCGAGGAACTCGTAAGCGTACTTCTAAAGCGTCCTTGAATAATAGCAAAAAGAAACGCAAAAATTCCTCTTCTGAAGAAAGTGAGGGTGAAGGAGAGGAAGATGAAGAAGCTGAAGATGAAGAGGGGGAATTGGATGAAGAAGAAGGCTCTGATGATGAGAAAAATGGGTCTGATGGGAATAAGTCTGATTCCAGTCAGTCAAAAGACGTACCAAAGCACTTCCATGTGAGTATTTGTGTTGATTTTATTATGTGATGTGCTTACTTATTGTTAGTAAATGTTGTGTTGGAAAGTACCAATAGTAAGTAGAGTTAGTACAGTCAGCCATGTTATTTAGTAAACAGGTAAGATGACAAAGATTGAATATAGGGACAGTAATTAACGTTGAACAAATCCCCAAATCTTATGACAATAACTATTGGAGAAGAAGCCTTTGCTCAACATTGGCCACTCATAAGCCAATAATGTGTGATGTGTGCTTATTAACTTGTGAATATTTGAATTACAAATTAACATTCAATGATTTCAGTCAGGAAACTTTGTATTGCTAAAATCTGATGTAAAGTGGAATGGAGACACAGTCACCTCTAAGTTGGATGAAATTAATTTGTGGAAAATTGATGGAAAAGCCCTCCTACAAAAATTTATTCCAATGGAATCAAATGGAAAAATATTGCACAAATGCACATGTGTGGTGAGTATCTGTATATTTAAACTGTCAAACACCAAGCGGTCACCGGTGACCGCAACCTATTGTTCTATAATTATGTCTATAATGACGGTACTCGACGATTTAAGGCAATTCACACAAACTATTTTTAATTACTAATGATAATTTATGGAAGTACCTTACATAAAAATTTTATAATGTAGGTATTGTTTAATTTTCTTGTGTATTGTGATCACTATTGGAATTATAATTATCTTGATAATAAATGATGCTTACTTTTCAAAAGTTCACTATTTATGAGGTATTGATTTACCCTATTTGTCTACTTGAGAAGATTATATAATAGTGTAAAATATGTGATTAAAAGAAGCAGCTATTATTAGGTATTATCTTGGCGACTGTTTTAAAATTGTTCATGTTTAATGACCAAACTTGTTCATCAAAAGTAGTCTAAACATTACATATAAGGTCTATGGAGTAAGTAAGAGAGGACTACGGTGTTCCCTCAGAGATTTAGATGTACTAAGCTCAGAATAATTCTTAACATATTAGTGTGTGCATTTCACATGTGTGTGGTGTATTTCCCACATGTGGACACATTACACATTTAATATTCATAAATAATATTTTATTTTGCAGTATTCTGGGTGGAATGTTGACAACCGAGATAATTACTACCCCATCACTGAAATATTGGATCGGAATCCACGCACTGATTCCAAGGAAATATGTGTAGCATTAGATCTAAATGATCTTATCAAAGTAAGGGACAAGTAAATCCATGGTATTTTTTACTTAATTCAATTAGATAAGTGAAAGTAAATTAATTAATGATTCTTTAATTCCTGTTTACTTGTATAATTCAACTTCATTCCAGATTACTTTGTGTAATATTTTATAAGCTGGGGATTAAATGTTCAATTCTACAATAGTTTTATTGTTTGTTTTATTTGCAATGTTTATAATTATTTGGATTTCTGTCCATTTGTCTATTTGGATTTCCAATAAGTCTAATCATGCAGGGTTTGGAAGTAAGCTGTAATTATATCTGTTATGTGTACTCGGCTATGTAGTGTCTGACGTCTAATGCACTTGACTACTGTTAAACAACACTGTACATAATAGAAGGTATAGTTTTCTAATCTGCAAACTAAATGTGCCAACTAAATAAATTAATGGAAGTGTAATTGTATTGAAACTAGAAATTACTTATTTTTGATGAAGGAATTATGTGCTCACTAGATGTCGCCAATGCAGAAGCTATTCTGTATTTGGTAGCTGTCGATAATTTTATATGTCGTAATGACTGCAAAAGGAGGCCCAAAAATCTCAAAACTAATAATTAAAATTGAATTAATCATACTTACAACAATTTTATATGTCGTAAAAGGACTGAAACGCAAATATGCTCAGCCAAAACCTTACCATACCATACCACCATTATTGAAATTGGGATATACTGATTTACTATATCTATACCTGTAATAGTCTATCATGTCACACAAATTATTTTAGTCTCTTCTGGGTTTTTGAATGGTTTTTGCTCTATGTAAAGACATATATATATATATATACATAGAAGTTAGACTAATATAGAGTATATACATTTTTGATCATTCTCCTTTAGCAAATACTTTGATTCGCAGTGTTTCCCGAGGATTGTTCTGCCTTGATTGACATACGGTAAAAATAAATACCTATCTTCTTTTTATGGGATAGGCCGACAAACAAGCAGAAAGTCGTTAGTAATCGACCCCGCTCATGGACATCTGTAACACCGAAGCACTTAGGTAGCCGGCGGGTAGGTAGTTTGGGTTAGACATTTGAAGATTGGAGAGATCGGGAAGGGGAGAAATTGGGTCTCCTCCAATACTAAAACCAAGCTTCCATTAGATAGGGCACGTAGACATTGTGGTGGAAAGTTTCCTTTTTGAGATCTGGCTTGAGAGACGCTACGGCTAACATGCATGAATAGGCCTGCTTTGCTTCAAGCTCAACCTGTCATTGTGGTGGAAAGTCTCCTCTTTGAGGACTGGCTTGAGAGACGCTACGGCTAACATGCATAAGAATAGGCCTGCTTTGCCTCAAGCTCAACCTAAGAATCTTAACTTCAGTTCAAAATGACATTCTAATCATAGCTCGTTTCCTAGCCACTTATTTTCGATCAATTAAAAAAAAAAACATGTTTGTCACTCTCAATCACCACCGCGGGAGTGAGCCGTATTGAGTGCAACGACTTATTTTATTGCAAACTGCTTCTGCCATACTAAATAATCTTCTGCCAATGCTAATAAATAATACTTTTCGTAGTGTATATCTGCATTGAATGCTCATCGCCATCGCGTACGTTATTTATGTATTTACTATTTACCTCTTATTTATCTGGCAACCCTGAAAAGACATGTCATATTGTCAGAATTGTCATTTTGATTGGAATGGATGTTTATTTTGTTGATGGACAGACGAACTGTAGACAGCAGGCAAAATAATCATTATAAAAATAATGAAAAGTAAAATTGTTGCCTCTGAGAGTAGTATAAATATCCTGCTATGAGTATAGTTGTGGTGAATCTAGAAACTGGAAATTCTTTTGTCGCATAACTGCCTAGACGTACCTACCTACATATAATTTATTTGTTTTCTCGTTTCATTCATGTCGTTCTCATTTCGCATTGAGAAACACATTTGAGGAAGCAGCAAAGGCTACCTACTTATAATATTTTATATTGCATTTTCGTTATTTGAATATTGAAATTATCAAAATGAGTGGAAATAATAGCCGTGTGGGTAAGCTTTTTTGTATTTTATAGGTATAATTTTCATTTTATAAGTCTACTTAAGTACATATATACGATTACAAAAATTTACTTTTGAAAAGAAAATATATTAAACACCAATAAATGACACATACTTATTATGGTTATATATTATTGGGTTATACTACATACTTAACATGTTTGTTTCTGGGTTCTTTAATAACTTAAGCATTTAAGCATTCAGTTCAAAAATTGAATGACTAATTTATTTATTGTGAAATATAACGTGTGATAAAGATACTTGCATAGTTTTGTCCCTTCTAAAATGTGTCAAGAGTTTTCGTTCACTTAGATCAGTGTATACTTTTTACTGATTTCTATTATTCAGTCGTATTGTTTATTGCTCTTCTTTACAGATATAGATTGTGCCGTGTGTTTACAAAAATGTAACCATCCAACACAGTTGCCATGTGGCCATGTCTTCTGTTTCCTCTGTGTGAAGGTATAGTCAACAATTCAACATAGATAAATACATAATTTATGCACCTATTCAAATCATATAGTTGCACAACTTTAAATTAACTATTATACAACTAATATCACAGTAGTGTATAAAGTTTAGATACATTTATTTGTTTTACTATTTTTATAAATATGTGTGTGTTTGTGATGCCTATATTATATTTAGTATAATATACAGCAGTGGTTCCTGAACTTATCTGGACTACGACCTGTCTAAATCAAGTAACTAAACTCGGGACACACTTAAACTAACACAAAATTAAACCATTATAAATATGAAAAGTAAAGTAAAGAATGGTTAGTTAGTGTGTCATTCTACAGACAAGGCCCAGTAAAAATTCACTTGTGACCCATAGTTTCGGAAGCCCTGATATATAGTACATTTAACTCTTTAGAGTACCTTTATAGACTCAATTAAAGAACAATAGGTTGCGGTCACCGGTGTCCTCGCTGTGTTTGACAGTTTAAGCAGGTGTTGTCTTTAAGAGTACTGAATATTAGAACCTAGAACCGGAACTCATCAAAGAACAATTTCCTTAAATCTTAGGTGCAGATTGTTAAAAAAAAATATTAAAAACATATATTACAAATTAAAACACCTCAGAGATTTCCTGGATGCCTTTGAAACTAGGACAATTTTGTGATACCTGGACAGATGGCATTCAAGTCCTGATAATTCTGTTATTAACCAGAGACAATAGCTTTATCAGGAATTGTTATTTTATATATTAGAAACTTTCACCTAAAGTGGACTTTAATACATTAAGTACTTTAACCTAAAGTAAAAACTTTCTTATTAACTTCTTCAATAAATCAAATCACTTTTATTTGTTACACTTCACTCTCAGATCATGATGTAATAGTTTCAATATCTTTTGTATTTTTTCAGGGTATTGCATTTCAAAGCAAAAAATGTGCAATGTGCCGAGCTGAAATCCCTCCAAATTATCTTGATAATCCAATACTTCTGGGTCCATTGTCTGCGGAGCAAGTGAACAACAGTCTTGCTGAAGAAGTGTGTCAGTGGTTTTATGAGGGTAGAAATGGTAATTTACAAAATAAAATTAGTTTCTGACATTGGAATTGGAGAATTAGTGGACATTTAGGCGGTTATCACACGGCACCGCGCGCCGCCGCGGACGGCGGTGGCGGTGGCAATAATCTGGCTTTTATGGCGTAAAAAGAAATTAAAATGAAGATATTGGGTTCATCAATTTTAAAGAAGCAGAACACTAAATAGGACATTCATGTTATTCTATAAAAGTTTGAGGAAACACGAAGATATTTTTTTCAATTTTACGCGAATGTCTACTTCTTCATTTGATTATTTAAATTGCAACACATCCTGCACACACGATGATTTGCGCGGTTATGCGGTGCCCCGTGTGTGATGCACCGCTCCTCAGCGCGGCCAGGCTGTGTACATGTGTTAGGCATCGACGGATTTAATAGAGGTCAATGCGACATGAGATCCGCTCCATCGCCCTCCGCTGAGGCGCGCGGTGCCGTGTGATACTCGCCTAAGGTACTGACAGACATGCTCATTACTAGCACGAAAGCGTGCTTTTATTGAGCAAGTGCTCATTAATGTGCACGTGTGCAATATAATGAGCATGCTTATTTAGAGCGTACTCAAAAATCAAACTACGTTCGATCATCGAGCATGCTCCCAGAGGTGCGGGGGGGGGGGCGTGTTCCGAGCTTGTCTGAACTGAACAGGTTTGCATGCTATATGCTATTATCGATTCTGTTTCGATCTGCAGCGGACGACTGTTTTATAATTATTGTAATTAATTAAAATAAAAACTAAATATGAACGAGCAATATGATTATTTTATTAAGTTCTGTACGGATAGCACTGTCACTATATATTTTGTACTTGTACTGTACATGGTAAATATGATCAATTTGCAGAGCATGCTTGCTAATTATAAGTAAGCTTATAAGCATGCTTCTTTTGACCATGTCTGTCAGTATCTTTAAAAATTGGAAGAGCTAAGTGTGAAGTTTGCCTGCATTACGTCTTCTAATCCTTGAACGCAACGACTACGTCTTCCTCTTCCATTGTCAGTTTTGAAGAGGGGTGAATCGATACTATGAAGAATTTCCCAATATCTATTCACCCTTCTTTTGTCTCTATTCACCTCTCGATCCCTATTCACCCCATTTTACGTAAGGTACTAAAGGAGTCAATTTTAAAATAAGAGTACCAATGCACTCACCACTCACTATTACATATACTATAAGGTTTTTTTAAGGCCATTTGACATAACTATGCATATTGTCCATACTCATACTAAAACCCACTTGTTAGGAAAAGCTAAACAAACTAAAAGTTTTCACATAATATCATAATATATTTCAGGATGGTGGAAATATGACGAACGTAGTAACTTTGAATTAGAAAATGCATTCAATGCTGGTGATCCTGACTGTACTTTACTCCTTGCTGGAACCTTGTACAACATAGATTTTCAAACTATGACACAAGTTAGGAGAAGTGATCAAACTAGGCGTCGTCGAGTGAGACGAGATACGCCATCTTTCCCGTCCAAAGGTATGTAAAAAAATACTTTAGAATATAATATTTTTTTTAATTTAGATATAATTATTAAGACCTAGGTACCTTAAATATTACTTTATATCTCAGCTTATACCTTTAATGCAACAGGCTATTTGAAAGAGATTACGGAAATGTTTGTAAAAAAGTTATTTAATTAGGTAATAGGTACAAATTCGTTGCTTTTTGCATATGCTTTGTTATTATTACTGTTTGATAAACAATAATAGGCCCCTTTGAAAGGCGAAAATATACAGAGTGACTTGTAACATGACGTATTCCGGAGGTGATAATATAACTACCTATGTATGCATTCATGTAGCATAAGCAAACTACTAGGTACTTTTCTATTTATATATAGTAGCATTAGGTACCTATTGCATATTTTGGTACATTTTCGTTTACAGTGGATAAACGTGTTGTATTATGCCGTCGACGTCGAAGGGTCATTTTCAGGCTATACATTGATACTAAGTGACAAACGTCGTAAGTTTGTTGTATGAAACCTTGATTTTAAACTTAAATACAAAAGCAAAAGTGTGATTTGATAGTAAGTCTTATTAATGTTTATTAATATTTATAGGAATAGCTGGAATTAAGACTGACGATGGTGGTGCAAGACAAGTTAAGAGTGATGATGAAGAAACGGCGGACGTCGTACATATACCTATTGTAGATGAAGTTATAGAAATTAGTGATGATGAAAGAAGTAATTTGAATCAACCAGGTCTTATTCATAATGAAGATATCAATGAAGTGATTGACAGAATTAGGTAAAATACAATCTTTTTTAGATGTAATAAATTATCTGTAAATACATTGAAGTAGACAAACGATAGGTCCGTTGCTCTGAAAAAAAAACAAGATCGTCGTTAAAATGCAAAGGAGAAACTGATAATCCTCAAAATTGTGGGAAGCCATGTAAAGAAGTGTAATTGTTGCTTGCATTGCAATTGCATTGCTTCGGCACGAATTGGCAGGCTCGACCGAAGTCCTCACAGAAACCCGACCGGCCACCTAAGCGTTGTCTGTTCTTCTTTTTAGTTAACTAACCGGTTAACTAACTAACTAGTTAATCGGTTACGTGAGTAACCGATTTACCGGTTAGTTACTCATCTTTGTGGTTCTTCCTCATGAGCAGCGTGCGCTTTTTTATGATTTTTAGTTAATTTAGTATGTCTCACGATAGTTATTATAAAGGTTTATATGTAAATACATAAATATTGTACCCGCGCGAAGCCGGGGTGGGTCGCTAGTTGTGTATAAATCGGAAAATACTAGTCCTTTCGGTGCCATATCGGGCTATTAACAAAATAAGTATGCAATACCTGCAACGTGTAGGTATCACATTTTATTACCCCAACATATTACTTCGTATAATGATACACAGTTAAAAAAATACTTGTTTTTGTTTCAGCTCAGTCAGCCTCCACGACGTATCCACTAACCACAACAATGAAGCAACCTGATAAGAAATACCTTTTCGTCAAATAATATAAATGTTACTTGTGTAATATTGGCATAGTCTGTCGTTTTTTATTGATGTTCAATTATATTTTATTGTTAAAATAAAGTTTTTTTTAATATCTAACACTAGTAATTAGATACCAGATTATATGCATCAGTATAAAAGTACCAAAATATGCATGCAACCATGCAACATAAAATGAAGCCTGAATTATATACCCTGATACTGTCACCATCAAGGTCACGATCAATATCGCTCGTATACCAAAAAGGTAATTAAATGTAATCAAATACTAAACATGCCCCATTGTTTACAAGTTTGCTCCATTGTAATTGCTAAGTAGATTTCAATGGGAATCTGTGGCAACGTCACGTCGTGAGGAGTGTATTTGTTAAATCTGTTATTTTACTCACTCGTGCTATATTTGATATACTGCTGTTTGTTGTCCTTGAAAGAAAAAAACATGTTTGAAGTTCCAAGAAGACTTTAGAGCTTCTATATGCACAAGAAGACTTTAGAGAGCGAAATAAGACTAGCATTTCTAAAGAAATGTGCTTAGAATGGGTTTGCCAATAAACCTCCAACTCGTGTTTTTTACAAAATATTGCCTTAATTGTAGGCGATACCTACACAAAAGTCTGCTTAGTCGGCAATTAAGAACAAATCACACGATTTTTTCATGATTTCAGCAACCATCTATGAAGGTTTTGTAGAGTGGGACTAATAATCAAGTTCCTCATGACAAGAGTCCGATCCAGTGTTTGAGTATGTGTGTAATTATAGTTATTTATCGTCACATTCATGGGTGCGTGCGGTCTACATGTGTGTGATTCTTGCGAGAGGGCTTGGTCATTGAACTAACATCATCATATCAGCCATAAGACATCCACTGCTAAACATAGACCTTTCCCAATGACTTCTTTATACGCCGATTGAAAGGGATATAGCGGCTCCCTAAAAATATACATACATACATAACTTCACGCCTGTCTCTCATAGGGGTACGCAGAGAGTAGGGAACGCCAATCACTACGGTTCCCGCATACCTCTTTCGCTTCGTCAACAGTCATCAATCTTTTCATGCATGCTCGTCGATTAAGGGTACTTTTAATTTGGCCCTTCTTTAATATATCGCCAATCTGGTCACTATATCTCCGTCTAGGGCGCCCTCTACCGGCGGTCCCATTTATATCCGCTCTGTATACTTCTTTCGTTACTCTATTTTCATCTATCCTTTCTACATGTCCAAACTAGCGTAACATTCCCTTTTCAATCCTTGTCACTACATCATCTTTCGATCCTCACTTTTCTCTAATAACACTATTTTTCACTCGTTCACTCAATTTTAGTCCACACATACTTCTCAGGGCTCTCATTTCCATCGCATTAATCCTGCTTTCATGCTTCTTCTGCCACACCCATGATTCACTACCATACAATGCGTTGGTGTCAATACACACTGCATTACAGCAAGTCGAGCTTTGCTAAATATTAGTTTACTCGACATTACACAGTGTAAAGCACCATTAACACTATTTCCCGCTTTTGCATGGCCCCCTAAAAAAAGCTAAGATAAGCTAAGTCTTAAAAAGCTTTTATTTAGTTTTCCAATTTCAATTATTACCATTACCATAGAAATAAAATGTGTCATTGTGTCAACTGTCAATTAACAAACAGTGTCAGTGTCAACGTCAATGAAAGATAAAATAGGTCCTGTGTGTTGTGTTGAGGTTATAATTTCAGTAATAATTTATCATATATGAAAAAATAATTTCATAATAATAATCACGGATTTTAAATAAAAAAGTAGGTATTTTAACGTTTAATAAATATTTCACACAAAAATTGTGCTCTTTTTTACTATTATTTAGATAATAGGTACATTGCGATCGAGTTGATATTTATTGTTGTTTTGATTTTATTTCATTATTTCTGGTTTTAGGAAAGATGCAAAGAATTTTCTCCTTAGTGAAAGCAATATCATCTGCTAGGATTGGTCCTGCAAGTTATACGCAGATGCCGATGCTGACTACCTTTCAACAATTTGCGAGAGACCGATTACTGCAACCAACACTACCTATAATTAATCCAGTTTGTAGTTTTAAAGTAAAGGGTCGCGTGCGGCGTCGTTGCAAATCATGCTATTTTGTTGTAAGAGATGAGAGGTTGTATGTTATTTGCCCAAAATCTCCCCGTCACAAACAGATGGCAATGAAGCCCAAACCATTAAATACTTATATTTTAACACATGCCAGCCAGAGTCCTGTACGACCATGGTAAAGTTTATATTTATTTGTTACTGCGGTATTTAGATAAAGAAGTTGTAATGTATTAAACTAATCTTAGTTTCAGTATTGTTTTATTTGTACACTCATTATAATTATATAACTAATTAACTACCCATAATGTACAAACATAATTCAAACATTCAGATAAATACATATTGTGTAATAATGCTCAAAGAGACTGTCTACCAGTTTTATATCTTTGTTATCCATTTGGTTGACTAACTTTATTTAATTAATGAAAATGTGTATCAAAAATCATTTCACCTAAGTTGCACACTATTACCCAGTGGTTCACACTTTGTCCCATTGACATTCCGTCAAAAAGGACAAACATGATTTGTAGAATGTAAAAAAAAAACAAGACACCACTTCTGTCTAATATCCACTATTAAAGGTCCCACTGTCAAACACCAAGCGGTCACCAGTGACCGCAACCTATTGTTCTATAATTGTGTCTATAATAGTACGAGATCCGGCTGCAGAATCAGTGTACCCATCGAGTGTTTGCTGAAAACCAAATTTTTACACATATTCATGATTAGGAGAATTTATATCCACCAGGTTGCCTATCAAAATGTTGCCGCTAGTATTTTTAATTAAATTATTAATATTTCATAATCCGTAAGAAATTTCATTGACTTTTTTTTTCAATGAAATGTCGTCTACTTTACGGCAACATCTATAAAGACTCTGAAAAATTATGGTTGCCGTTGCGCACCTGGCCGCACCTCTTCGCAGCCAGGTATACACAGGTATGAATTTGTTACATTTATACACCCACAACGTACATTTATAATTTATATATCAAATTAAAGCAATTTTTTTTCTGTATATTATTATATACGGTTGCTTAATTAAATCTGGCCGCCAATAAGGGTTGCTGGCTAATAAATATAGTAAATATTAAAAGTAGAGTGAAAGAGAGCTGGCGCGTAACACCACTAGTCACTAGGTACGACTCAAAATAATAAATACTCCAAAAGAAACGTCTTTCTTTTCTAAAATAAAAAAATTAAAAAGTCAATGACAAATTTAAAAATTACAAAAAAAATGAATATTGATGATAAATAAAATCAAGGTTACTTATGTAAAAAAAATGTGTTGTACAAGTACTGTATGAAAAAAGATTTAATTTTATTCAAGTATTACATTTATTTTACATATTCATCAATCATCAGTTTAAGCAAATTATAAATTTTTAAAATGTATTATATTTGTATTATACTTCCATGACTCTTTTTTAAAAATCTGAATCATCGGAGCTCTCAGTCACACTATCATCGCAGCTATCACTTTCATCAGAAATATCGGTATCGTCGTTATTATCGGAAGGCTTGTTCGTGGAATCACACAGCACATTCTCAACTTGCGCTGGAGTTGGATCTCCCAGGAACCATGTTGGTTTTAAAAAACCATCTAACAGCAGCCAGCCATTATTTTCCGCGCTGAACTTGATGCAATCCCGCTCAGTAGCATTTAACCACATCGAATTAACAAAGATGGTTCGCAATAATTTTTCCTTTAAAGATTTCCAGCATGGTGGAATGTGCGTTGAGTCAAAACCTTTAATTCTTCTCATAAATTTCTCACTACTTCCTTTTGAAG